CTTCCAAGGAGAGAAGAACATTCCCAGACTTGCAGGGGCCTGCAGGAGGAAAGCTGAGGGCTCTGTCTGCAGCTCTTGCCTGCTAAGTGCCAATCACCTGCAGAGTTGAGGGGATGGGGGCCATGAGGGGATGCTGTTCTTGCAGCCCCTGCATGTCTGCTCCACCCTTCCTGCCTCATCCTCAACCAGCTCCGAACTGAACTGTCAGCTTTTATGGGCCTCTCCAAAGAGCCCAGGCCCCTTGTCTTCCATGTCTGTAGACAGTGATTGTCTCTCTGCATCCATGGGGGGTGTTGGGCAATAAGAGGCTGGGCAGCGTGCCCAGGACCCCAGAATAATTCAAGGTCTGGATTAGATTTGAGACATGGTCCAGTTTTGAGCTATGAGCTATTACACTGACACTGTGATCCACAGTTTCCATAAAGCCCTTGCACAAGAAAATTCAACCCCAGAGGATCAAGGCCTAGCTCTGACCTCAATAGTGACAGCAGGGAAGGAGCTCGGGTAGCAGAGTGTGTTATGAGTTGGGTTGCTAACTGCAATCTACCAGCCACTCCTGGAAAATTCTACACAGGATCATCATGCATTGGAGCGGACTCGACAGCACTTGACTACCACCACCGCCACCAGTGACAGCAGGGAAGTGTCTCCAAAGCCCACCTAATCCAAAGCAGAGTGGTGGCTTTACTTTCAGACATTTGCATTTCTATCTGGGCCAGTTTTTAGATTTGGAGACTGAAAGTTCTAGAGAGAAGATTTGGCTGCTTGGGGTAGGGGCAGTGCATCCAGCTTCCCTGTCCATAGAGGGGCCAGTCTCCTGTGTGCCTCTACAACCCTGAGAACAGAGCAGAGCAGGGACCCAGAGTTGGAGCGGGAGCAGAATTCCCATTGGTTTTGGGTGGTGGCAAAAAATTCCTCCCTAAGGCCAGAGCTTTGTGAAGAGTTGTCTGAGGCTGGCACAGTGCTCTATCTGCCCATCCCCATCTTGCTGAATCTGGCTCAGGACTCCCAGATACAGCTGCCAGCCATGGCTCAATGAATAGGGTGACTCATGTTTTAACTATTGCTTCCAGTGCCTTCTCTTCTGGAGGGGGAACCAGGGACAGGGGGCTGGGGCCGGCCTGGAGTTGCCGTGGTTGTCAGTTTCTATTGGTATGAAAGGGCCCAGAGTAACTCGTAAGCTCAGGTGCACAGGACTGCCAGAGTCAGTGAGGACAAGAGGAAATGAAGAATCATGAACTCTGTCCTCAGAGTGTGTCCAGTCTGGAGGGGATGGAGACCCACTCCCTGGACAGGGACCTAGATTAGAGCATTGGGCAGACTTAGCTTTAGCATGGGACTGAAAGGGCCTCACACAAAGATAGGGAAGAAGTGGAGGGGCATGGCCTTCTGTCAATTTAATTTAAAAATGGTATGCTAAGCACCCCTCTAACACTGGGCTGAGGATGTGGAATGAGCTGACATGTTCCCCAACTTTGAAAATACCCTAGGGATTGTGAGACATAGAGGGCATGTGAAAGATGGGAGTGCTGGGACTCTCGAACGCACTGCAAGGGAGAAAGATGAAACTTTCTGCCCCTGAAAAGATTTGTAGCCCCAGAAACTCTAGACAGGGCCACTAGGAGTCGGATCCTACACAACAGCACTTAACAAAAGAACGTGTCCTAAGCAGGCATGTCGACTGCAGTTTGAGCTCTGAGGAGAGAGTCTGGAGGTAGATATTGCAGGATTGGTCTGTTCCTTGCCCTGTAGACACTTGCACTGATATTATTCTCTCTCTGGTCTCCGTGAAGTGTCGGCTTGTCTTCACACTATGTCCTCTGCACACCATGTGAGGGTGGCCACACCATTTCCTGATGGCTCCTGCTTCTCTAACAGCCAGCCCAGGAGGACAGCCACAAGTGACCATCTTTTGCTGATAGGGAGAAAGATGCCCAGAGAATTAAGGAACATGCCCTACCAAGTCTTGGTAATCCCTCCATGGGGTACACAGCTCCTGAGCTCAGTGTAATCCTCTCTTCCTGCCACAGTGAGATTCCAGGCCGGGGTGGGACTCTCCCACAAGACGCTGGTACCTGGTTTCCTATGGGACTCATTGCTATGATTTATACTGCTAAGGTCTGGCATCGGGGAGGGGCTGCCCTGCTGGCTTGGGAAGGATTTCCATGAAGTTCTGAAAGAGCAGTTCCATTTCTCCCCATGACTGAGGCACCCAAACACTCTCTGTCACAGTTACTTGCCACCCACACACTTTGGTCCCTGGCATCTGAGTCCCAAGCTTGGCAAGTTGCAGTGATTGCCAGATTAGCCAGATACATTCCTGCTTTTTCCACAACATAGCTGGGAGGAGGGTGCATGGGGAGAAGACAACGTACCAGTGTTTCCTGAGAGGTGGGGTTCCCCCAAGGGCACTGGGGATTGTACCCAGGAGCCTGAATGTGTAGGGGGATGGCTTCCCTAAAGATGAGTTTTTTGAAGAAGGGGGAGGTGCTCCCAGACATTTGTTTCAAGCTTTGTCTGCTCTATCAGGGCTGTTGTTGTTGTTGTTAAGTGCCATCAAGTAGGTTCTGACCCATAGCGACCCTGTATAGGGTTTCCGAAGAACAGCTGGTGAACTTGAACCACCGACCGTGGGTTTCAAAGTGACTTTGCAGTCCAGTGCATTAACCCAGAGCGCCACATCAGGGCTGAGAGTTCGTTCCCCAATATCTCAGGGCAAGACACCCGCATCTGTTCCTGAAAGACAAAGTATAAGATTGGCGAACTCAGTAAAATTCATCCCTGAGAGTCTCAGAAGTCCTCCAGGGAGGCAACCAAAAGCTCACTGCCCAAGACCTGCCATGCCTGCTCTAGCTACAGGTCCGTCAGTCTGCATTTCCCTGTCAGCGGCTTTCTCAGCACAGCCCTCTGCTGAGCAATTGCCATTCCACTGGGCCCGCTCCTCACGGAGTCATTTTCCCACAGCCTTGGGTTTCATGTGGCCGACCACAAGCCCTGACTAGAGATTCCAGAGCCTGGGCTGGGTCCAGATTCTGCTATTCCTGAGAACAAAGCCCATCACTTCAGAGGTTTAGTACCCACCTTCATCCCACTTTCAGCCCTGGCTCAGGAGTGCCCCCACAACTCTTCATTGTGGGGTTAAACCCTGCCCTGCCTGTTTTGGACCTCACTCAGATACGTGGCCATGGTGCAGACAGTTAATACACTCAGCTGCTAACTCAAAGGTTGGGGGTTCTATTCCACTCAGAGGCTCCTTGGAAGAAAGGCTTGGCGATTGACTTCTGAAAGAACACAGCCATTGGAAATCTTATGGAGCACAATTCTTCCCTGACACACATGGGGATGCCATGAGTCAGCATCAATTGAAAAACAAATAGTTCTGGTTTAGGACAAAAATTGCTGTCAAGTTGATTCCGACTCACAGCCAGCTCATAGGACAGAGCAGAGCTGCCCCCATAGACCCCTATGTTGTCGATCTTTATGGATGCAGACTGCCTCATCCTTTTCTTGTGGAGGACCTGTTGCATTTGAACGGCTGATCTTTCGTTTAACAGCCCAATGTTTAACCCACTGTGCCACCAGAACTTCTTGACTTAAGACAGATACTTGCTAAGATCTAATCAGACAGAACATTCTCTCTTCCATCTAGTGCCACAGCCCATCCAAACTAGCCCTACAAAGAAGCTTCTATGGGGATCTTGTCTGAAGCCACTGTGGCAGATTGTATGCTTACCACCTGGTCCCCACAACTTGCTTTTTCTTGTCTCTTTGACAAGACAAGCCAGGGATTGACAATTCCATTTTCCATTCCCTTGGCCCTGAATGAGGCTTTGGGCTGGCACTTGGGGTAAAAACAGCAATACCCGCTGTTTGGAACAGGGTGTCTCTCCCGCCGTTATAACAGGTTGGTAGATTCTCAACATGTTACTGATGAGATTAGAAGCTCCTGCAGGTATGTGTTTGTGGCAGCCTCCAGCCTGTATCAACAGATTCGATGATTCATTTCTTCCCTAGCAGAATAGCTGAGGGCTTGCTGGAACATACCTCGGGGGCTGGGGGAGGGGTGACAAGCTCCCCCTGAAAAGAAACATGACTTTCAGGCTGAGGCTTAGGAGTTTTTGTCAGGGGACACAGGGGATTCCTGGGTTTGCTAAATCAGGATCAGGGATCTGCTGAAAGGCAAGAAAAAAGGATAAAAGGAAAAGTCACAGAAAACTAAATTCAGAAGAGCTCTGGAAGGTTAAGCTAGCTCCTGCAGAAAGCAAACAGAGCCAGAAGTCTCCCCATTCTCTCTCTGTTTCTGGAACTTGGGGGTTGCCGAAGCCTTTCTGCCTGAACCTAGCCAGAGGGCTCCACAATAGCTGGGGCAGCTTCCCACCTCACCCCCGCCACACACAAAAATCCAACTCTGCAGTAAAGGGCTAAACTATTTTTCTCTCTGAGACATAACTGAGATATCAGGCCATGGGTTGCTTCTGCAAAAGCTAAAATCCCTGCAGCAACTTCCTGCCTAGAAAAGTGTAAGAAGAGCAGAGCACCTTTAGGCAGCCAGCTCTCATGGCCCCCACTGCTCTCCCCCAAGCTGGACACACACATGCCCATTGTAACTGGTCTAGGATGGCCAACACTAGCACTGGTCCTGTAAGGATCCTTCAGCTCACTGGTCCCTTTGCTCCCTGGCATCCTCATTGGTCTGCTCATTCCCTAGGTGTGCCTGGTCCGTCTTTGGTTTGCCCCAGCCCCCTGCTGAAGAGACTTGGTGCCAACAGATGAGTGCTGCAAGGCAATGTTATTCGTAAAGAAGCTGAGCCTGGCAGGAAGAAGTGTGTGCACCCCATACCACTGTGCAGGTGTGGTGAGCTCACAGCTGCCCCCCAGGCATGCCCAGCCCACTTAATCATTCACATCTCAACAGTTCTCCAGCCCAGCCCAGTTCTTGGAGGGGATAAAAAGGGGTTTGCATTCGCAGGTAACAGCCACCTCTGCTTCTTCTGGAGTTCTGTTCTCGGCAGCACTTCTCAACCTCCTCAGTGCCCACCACCAACAAGCCATCATGTCTCGCCAATCAAGTGTCTCCTTTCGGAGCGGGGGCAGCCGGAGCTTCAGCGCTGCCTCGGCCATCACCCCATCTGTCTCCCGCACCAGTTTCAGCTCCGTGTCCCGGTCTGGGGGTGGTGGTGGTGGCTTTGGCAGGGTCAGCCTTGGCGGGGCCTGTGGAGTAGGTGGCTATGGCAGCAGGAGCCTCTACAGCGCAGGAAGCTCCAGGAGAATCGCCACTAGCGGCGGCGGTGGCTTCAGGAACCGATTCAGTGCCGGTGCCGGAGGCGGCTATGGCTTCGGAGGTGGAGCCGGGAGCGGATTTGGTTTTGGCGGTGGAGCTGGTGGTGGCTTTGGGCTCGGTGGTGGAGCTGGCTTTGGAGGAGGCTTTGGTGGCCCTGGCTTCCCAGTCTGCCCCCCTGGAGGCATCCAAGAGGTCACAGTCAACCAGAGTCTCCTGACTCCCCTCAACCTGCAAATCGACCCCACCATTCAGCGGGTGAAGACCGAAGAGCGGGAGCAGATCAAGACCCTCAACAACAAGTTTGCTTCCTTCATCGACAAGGTGAGACCTTAACCCCTGTTAAAAAGCAAAAAAAAAAAAAAAAAAAGGTCTTGGAGTCTGGAATCAATGCCAAGGAAAGTGGGAGAAGGGAAGCTATGCCTGATTTCATGCAAATGCCCACATAATTGCAGCTAGGAGTTTCCATTGGTTTCTGGGTCCTGGATTTTTAAAAAAATTTTATACAGACTGGGAACTTGGCAGGAAGGTTCTAAATTGCTTCCTAGTGCAAATGTGACCACACCAGGACTATTTGATTGCCGCTGGGCAGAGAGATGAACTCCCAGTCTCATGTAACGGGGACAACTGCATATGAAGCTAGATAGACCATTGGGCAGCCTAAGTGCCTTTGTGGTCACTGCTGCACGAGGCTACACTCTGGCCAGCCATCCCTGGTACTATCTGTGCCCTGAGACATGTCCTGTCTTCTCTAGAACAACAAGGTTAGGAACTTCATTCAGGAACCCTATCACCCAAAGGCCCAGGACCAGACAGCCCACCTTGGAAAGGGTTAGGGGTATATCATGAGGTAGGAGGAAAAACTGGTTAATGAACCACCGAAACATGAAATCTAAGTTTCTCCATCTCCAAACTCCCTGTTCCCCTGTAGGTGCGGTTCCTGGAGCAGCAGAACAAAGTCCTGGACACCAAGTGGACCCTGCTCCAGGAACAGGGCAACAAGACCGTGAGGCAGAACCTGGAGCCCTTGTTTGAGCAATACATCAGCAACCTCCGGAGGCAGCTGGACAGCGTTGTTGGGGAGAGAGGCCGCCTGGACTCTGAGCTGAGGAATATGCAGGACCTGGTAGAGGACTTCAAGAACAAGTGAGTTAGGGCAGGTTGGAGATAAGTGTGGGAGGTATCTTCTTGGAATCAAATAGGCTTCATAACCAGATGTATCTTATGCCTATGGGCTAGAGACATAAACCTTCCAAGAACACCTAAAGCGCTAACAAAAAATGTCCAGGCTCATGTTTAGAACTTTCCAGTCCTGGTGTCCCTCAATCAGGCACTTAGCCAATAGCCGTAGCAACGGTCCACACCCTTAGCACCGCCTGGTGAAATATGCCATCATGTGATCATGCTCTTTGGGATTTTCCTCCCCATAGATTTAAAGTACACAGCATGAACCTTTTAATGGCTCTCCCCACCACCCAAACAAGTGCTGAGAGCATAACTCAGCATAGTGGCTCAAATCCCTCTTTTCATCCTTGTGAATCAGCAGCTGGGGTTCTAGTTTTATGTCTGTTTTGCTTTCTTCTGATGCTCTGAGAGTACTAGAGATATTAACCACAAGTGGAGTTGGGGGGAAAGAGAACAGTTTTTCTACAGGAATATTTTTTAATCAACTGAATTATAGCAGAAGTAGACTAGAACCAGTGCCCTAATGGATAAGGACCCTGTGTTTGGGCTCACATCTCCAGTGCCCCTCTCTACCTGTGAGATGTGTGAAGCCCCTTCCCAATGGGCAAGCAAGCTCCCAGTTGACTTGGTTCAATAAAGACCCCAGGTCCTACTGTCCCTCATCCTCTGACCAGCATTTCCTTTTCCTTCTGCCTCCAGGTATGAAGATGAAATCAACAAGCGCACCACTGCTGAGAATGAGTTTGTGATGCTAAAGAAGGTGAGTGTGGCAGAGAGAGACTGTAGCCTGTGGCTATACTCTCAGGAGGGAGTGGTTCATTTCAGTATTTCAGTCAGGGTGGAAATCTGATGTCCTGCCAACCATCCCTATTTCTCTAGGATGTGGATGCTGCTTACATGAACAAGGTGGAACTAGAAGCCAAGGTTGATGCACTGGTGGATGAAATCAACTTCCTGAAGCTCTTCTATGAGGCGGTGAGGAATGTCCCCTAGTCAGGACCCAGACAACCACTGAGACACTGTCAGAAGTTAGGGCCTCTGAGATTCGCCAGGCTTAAGTGACTTAAGCTGTGGACACAACTCTGTGTTCCCTACTCTTCAATACTCCCCATTTCTATGGTAATTCTAACTCATAGCAACCCAGCAACACCACCCAGGCTCTCCTTTAATACTGTTGTTGTTGTTAAGTGCCATCGAGTCAATTCCAATCCATAGCAACCCTATATAGGGTTTCCAAGGAATGGTTGGTGAGCTTGAACTGCTGATCTTGTGGTTCAAACCGACTTTGCAGTCCAGTGCATTAACCCACAGCACCACACCAGGACTTCCTTGAATAGCGTTGTTGTTGTTGTTAAGTGCCCACACCAGGACTTCCTTGAATAGAGTTGTTGTTGTTGTTAAGTGCCCACACCAGGACTTCCTTGAATAGCGTTGTTGTTGTTGTTAAGTGCCGTGGAGTCGGTTCTGACTCATAGTGACCCTGCACAGGATTTCCGAGGCTGCAAATCCTTATGCGAGCAGAAAGCCTCATCTTTCTCCTGCGGAAGAGCTGGTAGTTTCGAACTGCCGACCTTGAGGTTAGCAGCCCCATTCGTAACCACTACACTAGCTGGGCTCCTTTCCTTGAATACTAATCACACTTTATTCTTTATAAAGCTAATTTTGGAAAGAAAAACACGCTTTTGACAATCATTTTTCAGAATGAGGTTTAGAGTGAATTATTAAAAAGACATAATTATACCTTTCCTGGTTACCTTCCATTTCTGGTGTACCACTCCCCTTTTTTCCCCTCCCAACATGACAGAAATAGAATCTCTTAAAATACGTTAAGACACGAAAAGATTTGGATCTAAGAGATGACATAGCAGGGGTTTCTTGGAGGCTCAGAACTGTTAAAAGTTTTCAAGAAATAGGGGTCCTAGTGATTTGGTTGTTCAGTGAACTTATCTAATGTTGTGAAGTGAATGGTTACCTTTTGCTCAAATTGATACTCCATCATGAGATGACTGAATGGAATTAACATTAAACACCACAGAACCTGAAAACTGACTTCAAGTCTTTCTGCAGGAGTTGGCCCAGATGCACACTCATGTCTCAGACACATCAGTGGTGCTGTCCATGGACAATAACCGCAGCCTGGACCTGGATAGCATCATTGCTGAGGTCAAGGCTCAATATGAGGACATCGCCAACCGAAGCCGGACAGAAGCTGAGTCCTGGTACCAGACCAAGGTGGGTGCTGTGGAGAATGTCTCCTTGGTGAGGGGTGGATTTGATGCCATGGCATAAAGCTAAATAATGAGGTCCTAAAACCTGGTGATAAGTTATAGAAACAGCCATATATATATATATATTCCCCCCCCCCCACACACACACACATAAATCCAAGAACCTTAGTGAAAATCTCATACTAGTGTCTCCAGGAAAGCAAAGGACTCAAAGGGAAATTATTAAAGACCAGATCCATGTTGGCAAAGCCTAACCCAGTCCCGGAATCCCAGATTAACTACACCATTTGCCATTTTTTGTTGGTTCATTGCTGGTGAACTTTTGGCACATGCTGTCCATCTTCATGTAAGCTTAATTCTTTCTCTTTTCTGGTGGCATCAGTATGAGGAGCTGCAGCAGACAGCTGGCCGGCATGGCGACGACCTCAGAAACACCAAGCATGAGATCTCTGAGATGAACCGGATGATCCAGAGGCTCAGAGCTGAGATCGACAATGTCAAGAAACAGGTAAGGTGATCTTGAACGAAGGCAAGGAAGTGGCCTAGGGTCTGAAAGAGAAGTCTATTTTGTTTCATTTTAATTTTGTGCACATGTTCATGAACATTAGGGCTTCTGACTGGTTCATTCTAGTTTGAACCCCCAGGGATCTTGTTAAAATGTAGATTCTAATTCAGTAGATCTGGGGAGGAAATGCAAATTCTTAGCAGGGTGTCTACCATACACAGCTGGAACAAATACCAGTATTTCAGTGTTCCATCACCCACAATGCCCAGGACAGATGTACTGGGCTCTATCTGAGGCTCCAGATCATTTTGTTTGCTTGACTCAGAGTCTCAGAAAGAGGCATCCAAGGCCCAGCTTAGCCACCAATGTCTCTATATCCCCTCTTCCTTCCTTTCCCTCTGTAGTGTGCCAACTTGCAAAATGCCATTGCCGATGCTGAGCAACGTGGGGAGCTGGCCCTCAAGGATGCCAGGAACAAGCTGGCTGAGCTGGAAGATGCCCTGCAGAAGGCCAAGCAGGACATGGCCCGGCTGCTGAGGGAGTACCAGGAGCTGATGAACACCAAGCTGGCCCTGGATGTGGAGATTGCCACCTACAGGAAGCTGCTGGAGGGCGAGGAGTGCAGGTGGGTCATACCTGACTGACATCTCATTTGGTAAAATGGAGTGTCTGCTTGACAGAGTGTAAAGTACACATACAAGGAACTACTATCTTGTGTGTGATTATTACCCAGAGGAAGTCAATCTAACACAGGTGCATCCAGCTGACTTCATACAATCTGGCTGCAACTGACTTTTCTACTCTCATTCCTCACCACCAGTATTCTTGAATGCTTCCTTGTTTCCAAACAACTAAGCAACTCAACAATGTGTCCTGAAGTTTGTCCCCTTTCTGTTTTTGCTAATGTTCTTCCCTCAAATCTCAATACCTGGGTCATAGCCATCTCCAGAGCCTTTGCTGATTAAATCCAGCCAAGGTAAACTCAGTTGCCTTTGAGTTCTCAAACTATTGACATTGAACTATGGTCTACTTTCTATTAGAAGGATTTCTGTCCATATCAAGTTCTAAAATTCTATGAGTAAGCTCCTACAGGGCAAACCACATTATGTATATTCATAGTTCCCGAAGCCTTTCACTCATACTTTCCTAATAATGGATGGAGGAGAATGCAAATTCAAGTCCTACTTCACTAACCTGTTTCTAAGTCCTCTTCATTGGGAAATCCCACCAGAGATCTCTCTTGCTCAAATTTAAGCAAATGTTTCAGGCACATGGCTTCCTAGTTTATAAAGTTTGTGGAATAAGCTCTGAAAGTGTTCTATAGGAGCTATCCACATAGATTAATGCTGTCTTTTTCTGGAGTTTTCAACTCTCATTTCATTTTTTTCCCCTTTTAGATTGAGTGGAGAAGGAGTCGGACCAGTCAATATCTGTAAGTATAGTAACAATGTTGATAATATGGGGTCTTAGTGCCAACTCAGAATCCTGCTATTTCTAGATACCTGACATCCTCATCCCAACATATGGTTATTTAAAACACTTTGTGAGAAATAAGCGATGGAGAAAAAGCACACAGATTGGGACATGAGCTACTTGGCTTATGTCTTTTCTTTGAAAGGTTAGGGTTCTAAGGATCATCTTATACATCTTGAACCCTGCCACGTTCCTACATCCCACCTGCCCCACCCAACCCCACTCCACCTCACCTCATACTTTAAAGCATTCTTTGCCTATTATGGTCACCATTTTTCTTCTAGGGCCCTTAATTAAATTGTTTCCATCTTCTAGGCCTCATTTGCTACTCTACAAGGGGCCCAGTTTAGTGGTCTAACAATCACAAGATGAAATAAGTTGGGCACATAGAATCAACCTAACAGACTGGTCTCACTAAGTTCTCCCTCTTTTCTCTGCAGCTGTCGTCACCAACAGCGTCTCCTCTTCCTATGGCGGTGGCAGTGGCTTTGGTGGTGGCCTCGGTGGAGGTCTTGGCAGCGGTCTTGGCAGCGGTCTTGGCAGCGGTCTTGGTGGTGGTGGGAGCTACTACTCCAGCAGCAGTGGAGGCGTCGGCCTAGGCAGTGGGCTCAGTGTTGGGGGCTCTGGCTTCAGTGGAAGCAGTGGCCGAGGAATAGGCTTTAGCAGCGGAGGGGGCAGCAGCTCCAGTGTCAAGTTTGTCTCCACCACCTCTTCCTCCCGGAAAAGCTTCAAGAGTTAAGAACCCTGCACCAAGTTACTGCTCCTAAGTGTGGCAACCCGGCCCATGGTGACTGCTACTTCTAGGCAGCTGCCAAAGCCAAAGTTTTCTCTTCTCTGGAGTGTAGAATAGACCAATCCTACTGTAGAACCACATTTTGGTCCACTAGAGTACCCAACCCCGTCTTTCTCATGCCACAATTTTATATTCTGCTCCAAATCAATCTTTAGGACCTTGCAGCATGGTCTTAGATGACAAGAGAACCCAAAATTCTCCAGTGTCTAAACAGAATCCTCAACCCAACCCCCCAGTTTGTTCTGGTTCTGACTACCTCCAGAGTGTGTTCAAATAAAATGCTTTTATAATATAGAACGTTGTGTAGAGTTGTTTTTTCAAGTTTTAGCCTCAGTGAGAGAGCCCATGAGCGTATCTACACAGGTGTGATTGATCCTGTTGATAATTCACGGAAGACTAGAATGACCTTGAGGGAAACTAGCCATAGTGGGTGGTCCAGAGACTCTAGGAGGCATGAGAGGAGTTTGCTAAATCCTCTCAGGAGGTTACTAATGAGAATGTTTGTTGCGTTGCAATTTGGACAGTTTGGAAGCATTTTGTTGAAGGGTACCCCATTCAAGATGAGTCAATCTGTTAGGAACAGCAGAAATGGGCTCACATAAAATTTACAGATGAAGTGTATGTTGCCTCCAGAACTCCAAAAGGCCTAAAAGATGAATTTCTTATAAACATGAATTGTTAAGTGTCCTTGCCTAGGTTCCGACTTACAGTGATCCTGCATAGAGTTTACGAGGAGCAGCTTGGGGGATTGAACTGCCAAACTTGCAGTTCAAACTGACCTTGCAGTCCAGCGCTTATCCTGTAGCGCTACAGTGCTTTTTGAAAGGGATGGTATGGCCCTTGGTTTACAATTTTTTATTTAACTGAGGTGGCAGTGTGTGTGGGGCAGACACCCACTCTCTTCTGTAAATATTTGTATATCCTAAATAAATGTGTGTGGTGCTATAGGATAAGCACTGAACTGTTAACTGTGAGGTCGGTGATTCAAACCCATCAGCTGCTCCTCAGAAAACCTATACAGGGTCACTATGAGTCAGAATTGACTCGATGGCACTTAACGACAACAACAACAAATGAATGTGTCAAATAAATCTCTTCAAAGGAGAATATCATCGATGTAATGTCATTATCTGTGGTTCTGGAGAAGGTTAGGTGAAGTTAGGTTATACATGATAGTAAGGTACGTAAGGTGCTCCATGAATAGCTGGGTAAAGGTGTGAATGCTATGCCTTTCATAAATGAAGGTAAACTGTGTCTGAAAGGCTGTTGAAATAGTCACAGAACCAAGCATATCAGCCAAATTTATAGTAGCACAATATGTACTAGTTGCTGATTGAATGCAGTCAATAATTTCAATAATAATGGGTTTGAGGCCTTAAAGGTAGGACCTGGGCATTGAATTGAGGTGGTGACAATTCACTGGGAGGCACTATTCATTCTTTTCAAGTTTAAGAATAGGTAAAATTAAGTTGTTAAATGTAGAAGAAGTGATGAGGATAATAATCATCCCTTCTCTAAATAGGTCTTGTATAATGGATTTCAATCCCCAAGGTTCCTGTTTTAATTGACACTGGATCATATTAACAACTCTAACATGGAAAGCTCTAGATCCAGTTTTATCAAGCTCATTTGCAAGTGTCAAAGACTTAATTGAATTTTAATGGATTACTCATTTGGACAGAATGGCCATGCTACTATTACTCATTGGGACAGAGCAGACATGCTCACTATGGAAAATTTTAGGGCAAAGAATGTTATGACCATGAGAAATTTAGGCAAGGTAATAATTCCAGTAATTAAGGTGAGCCATACCTGTTCATTAACTTTCCCTAAGATTATAAGAGGTGTTTTTTTGTTAACTGACCTCTAGTTAGCCCCTGATTTATAGCAATTCCATACTCAATGGAACAAAATGCTGCCCGGTCCTACACCATCCACAAGATTGGTTGCAGATTGGACCTTGTGATCCATAGGGATTTCTTTGGTTGGTTTTTGAGTGTAGATTGCTAAATCTTTTTCCTACTTTGTCATAATCTGAAAGTTCTGCTGAACCCTTTCACTGACTAGTGGGAGCTGCCTCTCAGGTGCATTGGCTTGGAATCGGTCCCCAGTACCTTACAGGAGATACCTTGTTTAGATTTAGTAGGGTGCTAGGTCTAAATGCAATTTTAGCTCCAGAATTGATTCAAGTCATGAAGATTTGCCAGTTGGTGTAATTCAGCAGATGTTAAAGTTAATTCACGTACTATGTTATAATTGTTGTTGTTGTTGTCAAGTGCCATCGAGTCGATTGCGATCCATAGTGACCCTTTATAGGGTTTCCAAGGAGCAGCTGGTGAGCTTGAATCACCGACCTTGCAGTTCAAATGAATTTGTAGTCTGGCGCATTAACCCACAGTGCCACAACAATGTTATAATTACACAAAGCCAAACATAACGTTTATCTTTTTCTTGTATAAATTATTTTAGTAAGTTTTGGATTTCCAGATCAAGTTGGGTCAAATTGTGGATCTCTGTTTAAATTTTTGGATCCTCCCTACTGTGTTCAGGTTTCTCCCTTCATCCCTTCTTTACTTCCTCCCTTCCTGCCTCCTTCCCTGCTTCTCTGTCTCTTTATCTTTTTCTTAGTGAATGTACTTGAAGGTGATTTCTCTTTACTCTGCTCATATACTCATCTATAAATCTCTGTCTCCAGAGATCTTCAAATCAATATTGTCAGGGTTAGGGACCTCCTCCATGGCAAGAGTTAGATTGACCCCTACAGTCCTGAAGATCAGGCTCTTTTTCAGTGATAGAAGCATAGGCAGTCACAGCAGTAGAAAGGCATGTACACACACCAAAAGAATATGAAAAGGTTTATGACTCATATAATAAGGCTTTCTGGAAAGATCAGGCTGGTCCAAAGAACAAAAAAGACTTGAGCAAGCAGGGAAAAGAGACTGGTTGGATTTTTATGGTTATTAAGGGGGTGGAGCCAGCCCGAGAGTTCCTGCACATGGTTTAAACTTCCAGTGCCAATGGAGTAATCAGACTTCCTTATCAGTTTCCCAGACGTAGACAATAAGTAGGGGTGGAGCTTAAAAGTTTTCAGCATTCAAACACTATTACAGGGTGGTTTATGATTCAAAATATTAATCACATAAGACATAACATAAACAGAAAAAAAAATAGACACAGGAAAATCATTTTAACACTCACTCATAATTTTTTAAAACTATAAATAGAAGTGTGTTTTCAAAATATGATAAAAAATAATTACCAAAGAACAGAAAATACTTAGTAGTGACTAGTGACTGATTGAAGAGCCCTGGTGGTGCCGTGGGTTAAGTGTTGGGCTGTTAACCACAAGGTCTGTAGTTCAAGCCCATCTGTCACTGTGAAGAGAAAGATGAGACTGTCTGTGTCCGTAAAGATTTATAATCTCAGAATCCTATACAGCAGTTCTACTCTGCCCTATAAGATCACAGTGGGTTAGTGAATGGTTGAAAAGGTTTCCTTTGAGGTCGGGAAGGAGGTAAGATCACCAGAATCATTCAGTATTATACTGAAGACTATGCCCAAAGCAATAAGAAAAAGTAAAGAAATGTCACTTTAAGGACTAGAAAAAAGAAGTAAAACTGTAAAAATTCCCATATAGCATGATTGTGTAAGTAGAACATCCAATAGAATCTCCAAACTTTTAGGCTATTTGGAAACTAAACAAAACACTCCTTATTTATCCATGGATCAAAGAAATCGCAAGAAAAAATATTTAAAAGAAAATATTTTAGAGTGATTGATAATGAAAAATCAACATCAGAAAGTCAGAGGATGCAATTAAACCAGTACTATTAGAGAAACTTATAGCTTTAAATGTCTGTATTAGAGAATAAGAAAGGATTAAAAATGATCTGTTTTTACACATAAGCTAAAAACAAAGGAAAAGAGCAAATTTCAATATAAAGTGTTGTTGTTGTTGTTATGTGCCATGGAGTCAGTTCTTCTGACTCATAGCGACCCTGTACAGGGTTTTCAAGGCTGTAAATCTTTACGGGAGCAGAAAGCCTCATCTTTCTTCTGTGGAACAGCTGGTAGTTTCAAACTGCTGACCTTGCAGTTCACAGCCCGATTCATAATCATTATGATACCATAGCTCCTTAAATATAAAGTGTCAAAGAAAGGAATTAATAGATATAAGAACATATTTTAACATAATAAAAAATGGTAAAGCAGTAGTGACACCCAACAAAGACAAAATGTTGGTTCTTTGAAAGAATTAATAAAATTTAAAAACCTCTAACTCATTTATCAAGAAAACATGAGAGTAAATACAAACTACCATAGTATGAATGAAAGAGATATCACTACAGATGCTACAGACATTAAAAGAAAAATAAGTAAATATGAACAACTTTATACTTAAAATTCTGACTGGTTAGACAAAATGAAAAAGATGTGAAAAAAGTACATCTTAGCAAAACTCATAAAACAAGAAATAGAAAATCTTAATGGCGTTTTTGCTCATTAAAGAAATGGAATTAATGATAATAATAAAACTTTTCACAAAGAAGCCCAAGGCCTGGACAGCATTACAGTAAATCTTAGCAAACCTTAGGACAGAAATAATACGAATATTTCAAAAACGATTTCAGGATATAAAGAAAGATGAAATCACTTTGTGATGACCGTATAATCTTGATAGCAGAACTAAACGAGACTATTACAAGAACAGAAAAATGTGCGAAAATCCTCTACTGAATATATTAATACATAAAGTGGTTATACATCATGGCTAAGTTGGATCTATTCCAGAAAATTAAGTTTGGTATAATATATAAAACTCACTTGATGTAGCTTGTGATATCAACAAACCAAAGGTAAAATATCACACAATCACTTCTATAGATACATAAAAATATTTTGAAGAAATTGAGCACCTATTCATGATTATTAACAAATAGCAATAAAAGAAAGCTTCTTTGCCTGATAAAGGTCATTTATGAAAAACCAACAGTTTGCATCACACTTAATGAAGAAAGAGTGAATAAGACAAAGATATCTGTTTCCACCATTTCTATCTATCAGTGTCCTAGGGGCTCTAACTAGTGCAATAAGATAATGAAAAAAAAATAAAAGTCCTAAAGATTGGAAAGGAAGAAATAAAGCTTCCTTTAATCACAGATGACAAAATTGTATAAATAGAAAATCCTGAGGAATCTATAAAATACTACTAGAACTATTTAGTTAATTTTTATCACAGGATGAAAAGTCATTGGAAACAACCTACTGTATTCCTACAAACTAGTAAGGAACAA